CGTTTATATCCGCAGCATTCGGCGGCAGCCTCGAGTATGCCTCTCTTAAACAGCTGCCACTCGGTTTCCACATCAGTGTCACCACTGGGATCTGTTCAAACCGTCTTGCGATGTTGTTTGCAAATTTCGCTCTAGTGTCCACCGAAGGTAATGTTTCCCATTTGACTCTACGGTTGCATCTGCCACCAAATCTTCGTATGGAACTCCATTTCGTACAGCGCAGCGTGCCAACAACAAGGTGATGATCAGATGACAGCTCTGTACCACTTTCGACGCGAACATCTATTACTGAGCGTCTTAAGTCATACGATCCGACTGTCAAATTGATCATCGACTTCAGTGCACAAGCTTCCCGGTACCAGGTACGCTGATGCACTCTTCGATGCTCGAAGAAGGTGTTCATAATGAACGATCCGTTGTTTGCACAAAACCGCAGCAAGTTCATGCCGTTATTGTTGAGGTCTCTAGGGCCGTTTTTCACAATCACGCCACTTTTCAGCGTCTACTCCGACATGCGCATTAAAATCGCCCATCAGTATGAGAAACTCTGTATTCGGCACTTCGGACAGAGCACACTGCACTTCCTCACGAAGGGTCTCATATTCTCCCTCCAAATTGGGCGCATAGACCTGTACCAAGGTAATCGATTTAGCCTGTTGTAGCTTCAGTCGGAGTATTACCACCCTTGCGCTGATAGGCTTCCAAACGATAATTCTATCGGCAGTGTTGGGTTCTACCAGAACGCCAACACCGGCATGAGCGCGAGTCGTCATATCGACGCCTGAGTAGAACAGCTTCCATTCATTGAGGTTCAGGAGTCCAGAGCCAGGGCGTTTCGTTGCGAGAGTCTAACAGTGTCGAACTGGTGCTTTATGGCCTCATCAACTGACTCTTGTTCTTTTCCTCTGAGTGAGGATATATTCCAATTTCCGACTTTAAGCTCCCACTGGTGATGTCGTTTCCGTGGAGCGTTTTCTGACGTGCTGTAATGGCATCGCGCTGTCTGCCTCCTCCGTTCAGAACGGGTAGCGACTCCGTTGCTGACTGGTATCTTCGTCATCGTTCCGTCGGTCTTCGTCAGCCGTTATTGTGCTGCTACGCCCTCGGCTGGCAGAGGACAATGAGCAGGTTTTGATCGCCGACTTTCCACAGTCTGCCTCAGTACCGCAGCAGCCTGCGCGGCCCTTGGTAAACCGGGCGACGACCGAGCCAGTATGATTTTCGATGGCGTCAATGCCATGAGTGGCAGGTTGCTAGATTTTACTTAGACTTGCCACGGTCTCCAACCCTCCTCCTTTCTCCTCTGGGCTTGGGACCGGCAACGACAGAGTTGCAGCACCTTCTATCGACATATAAAGACCGGGTGGTTCGTTACAACTGGCCATCGATTATATACGTCTGTAGGGACTCGCACGGCTTGTTGGGCGGTACGTGGTCATAGGTTTTCTTTTAGTCAACAAAATGAGGCAAACCACACGTGCGAACTATCATGGTTTCTCAACAGTCTGGCGTAAGGCGAATATGATCAAAAGTGCTTCAGCAAGACCAGAAGCGAGGCTATTGCTGTATTTTGCAATGAGTTTTCATGCTGAAACTTTTTTCTAGCATCTTTCAGTAGGCTTTCTTTGGTCGTCTCAATCAGGTAATGTCCCAATAATTTCAGGATTTGCTGTGGACTCCCTTCTTCAGCAGGGGTATTACAATCCCCGTTCTACAGACCGTTTGTGTCTTCCACGTGGCCACTGCAGTTAGGCAGACAAGCGTTAACCAACACGTTCCTTGTTCGCCTAATGTTTTAAGCACTTCAAGTCAGATTTCATGGATTTAATGGATTTCGTTGCCCTAGACACTTTCCAAGCTTTTTACAACTTCTGTGACCATCTGTAGAAGATTGATATACGTTTCCTGCTGTTCCTCAGGCAAGTTTTCCTGTGGCTGATTGGGGTTAAGCAATAACTCAGTGTACTCTCTCCATCGCTGAGGAATGCCCTTATCCTTGGGAAGAGGGTGTCCAGACTTGTCCTTCAGGACTTCTGGACCCTTCTTATCGGACGAGGCAGATGGTTTGCCGGAATACATTCTTTGCCATCAGAAATTCGAGATCTGATAGCAGCGTCCCCCAGAAATCAGCTTTCGCGTTTGCCACTGCTTTCGCTTCCGCGTTGCGCACTTCTGCATACCGTATGCGAGTTAAATGCTCTTTGCTTCTTTAGCAGTTTCTTCAAATCGGCATTTTTCTCTTGAACTGTAAGTGTTACCTCTCGTGTCAACTAGGAACTTCTTTTCTACCTCCAGTCGGCAGGCTAACCCGTTTAAACCCACTGCATTCGGCGGCAGCCTAATGTATGCCGCCTTTAAAGAGCTCCCATACGGTTTCCACATCATCGAGATCTGTTCAAACCGTCCTGCGATGTTGTTTGCAAATTTCGCTCTCGTATCCACCTAAGATTATGTTTCCCACTTAATCCTCTGGTTGCTTTTGCTTCCAGATCTTCGTACGGTACTTCATTTCTTACGGCGTAGAGTGCCAACAAAGTGGTGATCGGTTGATAGCTCTGCGCTTCTCTTAGCACGAAAATCCATTACAGAGCGTCGTAAATCAGATGATACGATTGGCAGATCGATCATCGACTTCTGTGCACATGCTTTCCATTACCAAATATACTAATGCAATCTTCAAAGCTCGTAGAAGGCACGATTTTGAATGGACAATCCGTTGTTTGTACAAAACCGCAACAACTTCCTGCCGTTATTGTTGAAGTCGCTAGGGCCGATTTTTTTCTAATCACGCCGTTCCACTCTTCAGCGTCTATTCTGACGTGCGCATTGAAATCTTTAGTGAAAGTGAGGGACTCCGTATTTGGCACTTCGTCCAAAGCACACTGCACTACCTCAAGGAAGGAAGGAATCATATTCTCCCTCTAAATTTGGCGCCTAGACCTGTAACAAGGTCAGCGCTTTAGCCTGTTGTAGCGTCAGTAGGAGGATTGCCACCCTTCCGCCTACAGTCTTCCATTCAAAGATTCTATCAGCGAGGTTGGATCTATTCTACC